CAATGTGCCTTAGCGAAAAACTGCAACAACCTCCTCAGAAGACAGACACAGTATACAATTGGTACAGTACACTTCGTCGTCCAGTAGTTCCCTGGAGCAGAGAAACTATGCCATGTTCTTCACAGCCTTCAACATGTCATCCATGAGGATGAGCATCTCGTCAAGATTTTCCCTACGCCCCCACTTCTCGCCTTCAAACGGCCACATTAGCTTAAACAGACCATTGCTCGCAGCAAGCTATCCAGCCTTCAGGACAACATCGACCACAACACCACACAACCCTGTCATGGCAACCTCTGCAAGACATGCCAGATCATTGACATGGATACTACCATCACATGTTATGTACACGGCAGATACTCATGTGACTCGGCCAATTTTGTCCACCTTATATGCTGCAGGCAAGGATGCCTTAATGTATGGTATATTGGTGAAACCATGCAGATGGTAAAACAATGGATGAATGGACACCATGCAACAATCGCCAGACAGGAATGTTTCCTCCCAGTTGGGGAACCCTCCAGCGTTCAAGGGCATTCAGCCTCGGATCTTTAGGTAAGTGTCCTCCGAGGCAGACTCGGAATTACATAACAATGCAAAATCACCAAGCAGGGACTGATAGCCAAGTTCCGTGCCCATGAAAACAGCCTCAACAGTGATCTTGGGCTCATATTGTGCTACAGCTGACCCCACCACACTGCTCTGTAGCTGTAAAATCTTCCTTACTTTCTTGTTTTGACACCATCACCTTGATAAACTGTTATGATCTCTCTACCTTAATTAGTTGGTAAAGTTTTGAATTACTTATTACACTCTCTCACACTTACTCACACATATACACACACACACACACTTTCATACATGCACACATACACACACACACACTCTCATTCTCTCTCTCTCCCCTCACATTCTTTTTTTGGAAAAAAGCACACAATTTGTAGTTACATTCAGTATTGTGGCATTTTATAAATTCCAACTTTCTGAATAAAACCAGCCTGAATCCAGGTTAAAACTCTGAGACAGATTCTGAACAAGGTCTCACACCTACAATTCAGTATATGACCTGAGATGTCACCTTTTGTATATTCCCATCGCTCTGCCTGATTGTCATGACAGCACAGCACTAACATTGACTTTACAAATACTTTACTTACTGTCTAACATTCTTGATCACCTGCAGAGACTTATTATCTGCCTCTCCACTCACACCAGTTGTATGATCATTTGATCTCTCTGCCTGTAAACTGTGTCTGCGTGTTTTCCTCTCTCACTGCACCTGACGAAGGGGCTGCACTCTGAAAGCTTGTGTGATTCCAAATAAACCTGTTGGACCATAACCTGGTGTCATGTGACTTCTGACCTAGCTCATCAAGCTGCAGAGCAGAAGGACTTGATTCGATCAGTACCAGATTAGGTCAGTATTGACAATGATGATCCTAGTGGAGAACTGATTGGGCAATTCAATTAGTCCCAGCACCTCAGATTTAGAAGTTAGTAAATAAGAAAACTGGGATCTCATGTTAGATATTCTGTTAGGGCTAAATATATACATATTGAATCAGACTGAGCTGTGATATTCTGCCCCACTGAACATTGTTCATTGGGATGGGGCAGGAAACACTTTCTTCTATCACAGGGGTTGAGAAGTGGGGATTGTTTGCCTCAGAGCTGAGAGAGGTAATGGGAAATTTAATAAAGATTAACATTCTGATTTTCCATTCTTATGACTTCACACTTCCAGCATTATATTCCGTTTGCCATTTGTTGCTTACTGAATTAATCTGTTTATATCTCAGTGCAGCCTCTTTATGTCCACCTCACAACTTACATTCGCATTTAGCTTCGTATCAGCAGCAAATCTACAGGGAAATTTTATGCCCTATCCCCCACCAGATTTGAAGGTGGAGGGGTAGGTGGTATGTAAAATATGTGGCTAGCCCAGTATCTTCTCACCCATCTCTGAGCTGGCGCAATATTATGGTAGGTGGTCAAGGTGTCAGCCAGCTTGCTTGCCATTAGAGCTATTGAGCTGCAAATAACATTTCTAAAACTTGTTTCTGCTTCTCCTGCTGTAATACAGTGGGAAAAGGATAATGGAATGTGAGTGACCAACTTGCTACTTTCTCAATTTGTGGTAAAAAATAGGAAGAAAGGTGGGTGCCTCCTTTTGTGGTAGTCCCTTGGGCCCAGCCAAACAAGACAGTACTGTACTGTCCCTCCCCTTTCTCCATGGTTCATCGCTCAGTTACTCTCAGATTCCTTTTTTTCAGTCAATATTTAATGCACTTTTGCTGGTTTCAAAAGCACACCCAATCCTTAGAGTTATTACTATTCTTTGCAAAGTTATTAAATCCCTTCTTTAAATATAACACTATCCTCAACTTCTTTAGTAAGCCACAAATGGATACTGTCCCTGAGTTTTTGCCTGTCAACAGGAAGTATTTTCGTTCAAAAAATTGAATTGGGGCAGCACAGTGGCTCAGTGGTTAGCACTGCTGCCTCACAGTGGCAGGGACCCCGGTTCAATTCCACCTTTGGGCATGTGCAGAGTAGAACATGCATATTTCTGCAATGCAGTTTATGAGTGCTGGGTAAGGGTTCATGACCCATCCAGCCCATATCCATCAAACCTATAAAAGGCACACCCCAAAACTGGAAAGCCTGAGAACGTGGTCAGGAATTTAGAAAGGGACCAGTAGCCAACTTGGTGAAAATCTAGTTGAAAGTGACATTTCCTCTACACAGATGCTGCCTCACCTGTTAAACATTTCTGACAATTTGAGGGACTTAATTTGTAGGTCATAAATCTATGGATTAGATTCTGACCAGGAGAAGAGTGATGGAGATGGAAGCAGTGGAATGTGGAAGGTAAAGAAAAAGCTGTCCTACTTACTGAAGCAAGGGAAATTTTGCACCTGGTCTAACATTGCATCAAAGTTCCACACTTTCATATTTAGCTTGAGGCACTGGTCATGAGGAAGATTGATGAAATTATGACTATAGGGTTGCGGGTGCCTGTGATCTCAATGGTTTTGAAGAGTTTAATACGGTGGAAATTTTGACTCATTCACAACCCAATTTCAACCAGGAAGCTGCAAAGTGGTAGAAATAGTCTTTTCGTCCCAATAGAAGACCAATATATAAAGGAGGGTAGGTTTTCTAACCAAGAACCACTTCATGGAAATAAGCACCAAATGTTCACTTTGAAAGAATTTCAACAAAATATTTTGGAGCCGTTTTAACTATTTCACCTGACAGGAAACTGTGAAGTGCAGACTGAGGTCCAATTTCCCATCAGATCTGATTTTAACAAAGGGTGAAATCACGATCCTATCGGTTCCATGACTGGTGCGTTTTTGGTTAAATGTGGATCCATTGTCTGAACACCATAAACAAAAGCATGTTGTCATATGAAAAGGAAGGTTTAAAATTACTAAATGCTGGCAGCTGAAACTTTTTTTTCTGATTGAATAGTGCATAGACTTCATGGCTGTGTTTTCATTTATTGTCATGTTTCTATTGTATTCTATATTATGTATACTTTTCTATAAATATATTCTTATATTCTATTGCATATTGCAAGTAGTTTTGGCCACTGCTAATTCCAGGTCTACATGTCCTTTGTGATGTCCTTCCTATGTGGCAGGTTAATCAAGTATGCATGTTGGGTTCTCAGTGTCAACAGCACCTCTCAGAGACTGAAGGAAAATAGGTGCTGCAGTTTTGCAATAGGACAAGTCAAGAACTGAAAATAATTTCTCAGCATTCTCTATTATCAGTACAGTTACGAGGGGCAGGAGTCAGCAAAGGAAGCATACTTGTACCTGCACGCATTCAAAATTGAGGTACTAAGTAAATATTTGACATAGAAGATCAAGGAAACTTGGAACAAGTACAACACCCACACAGCCCCTGTTCTTTTATGCTTGACCATGTTCCTTATTTTTCAATGCATCTCCACTAAATATAGCAGCTCCCTGTCTCCTGAGTGGAGGACCACTTCACAGGTTGCACTGATGCTGCCCAAAGCTTACTGTTAAAAGGGATATTGTGGAGATCATCAAATATTTCTATGTGCAAATAGTAACAGAGTTCCATGTATCCTTGCCTTATCCAGTCGACAGGAAAGTGACTAGCATTGACAGAAATGTTTTGTTGTCATTGCAGCGAACAGTTTTGCTAATTTGCAAACATGTAAGATGTACTAAGTTAACAAATAAAGAGGCCTGATGGAGCTCCTGGGGAGTTCTAAGGTCTTGGGACAAATTATTTCATTTTGTCTGTTTATCCCATAATTCTTCAACAGAGACGGATGCTAATGATATCAAATGAACTACACAGCAGATGGAAAGAAATCAGCAGGATGCGAATCAGCATACTTTGTTGCCATGGAGGGAATCACCGACAAGCCAGATCCTAGCTAGAAATCCACAAGTCAGCTTCCAGTTGCAACCAGCAGCAGAACCCTGGCTAATCTTTCTCTTCTGTGACGCAGAAGCCAAGTTGTAGGGGGTAAAGTAATTCAAAGTATCCCTACACAGAGTTATCTCAATTCCCTGGGCTAGACAGCATTATAGGCTGATTCCTGTGAGAGTCACACAGTTTCACCAACAAATCTGCTTCTCCCCCACATTGTTTCTCTACTTTTTCTTGGAATGACATTATCTAAATGAGCATAGAGTGGGGATCTAACATAGTTTGCCCATTCAACAGGCAAACTCATAGCATCTTCACAGGACCAATAGAATTGATATTGATTTCAAAATTTCAATTCTTATGTTGTTTGGGAGTTTCAGATGATAACAGGAATTATTATCAAGAATTTCTTCCATAAAAGTTCATGATCGCAAATATTTACCATACAAAAGTTCTATTATATCATTTCCACACATTGTTTCAACTCTAAATGTTCAAAAATTTATTTCATATCTATTCTATCGAATGAAATTGTTCTATACAAAAGTGATTCCTCTGCTGCTGAGTCATTCCAATCTCACCTTTCCTGAAGACGTGTGTGTTTCACTGATTTGAATGATGTGGAAAATGTTGATGAAGGGTCCATGCTCTCTGTTGTATGTTGACCTTGGCAGCTCGCAGTATATGCTGGAATGGAAGCTAGCCCAGGTTGTACCATGCTGTGTGCTGCATATACTTCAGAACAAAGCAGGCCTGCGATGAGACTACCTGCTGGCTCCACGATGCTGTGGCTAGTTTGGATGCAAAGGCACCCTTAAATGGCAATTCATCTGTAAATTATTAGAAATGAAAAATTTGTTGTGGTGAAAAACATTGCATACTCATCACAAAGTTCCAAGTCAAATTGCAGTTTAGTGTGCGGAATATTTAATATCTTTGAGGATATCTATATCCATACAATTATAATACCTTTTAAAACAATACTTTGTTATATCTTCCTTAAAGGCTATTGTGCAATTATTGCATAAGCTAGCAATAATTCTTCCAAGCTGCTCACTGAATACAGATATTGAAACAAACATGTCATAATCTTTAATGTTAATGCTGAAATTTCAACAAAGCAAAATATAAACTTAAAAATATCAAGTTTGCATAAGCTTCTCCTGCCTCCTGCAATTCCTTTACCTAAAGTTTGATGAAAGGGATCAGGTTTGGGTGATTCAGGATTTCAAGATTTTATTCAAAGTGATTCAATAAATGTTAGTCATATAGTTAGTTACAGACGTTATTTGATAAGCTACTATGGTTAACCAGCCTTCTACAAGATTATATTTGTATTGTTTTGGCTTTTATAAAGTAACCTTGAATGTAGAGTAAAAATTTGGAATGTCTGATATGGATTTCAGTAATTGAAGACATTCTTAATTTTAAACTGCGATGTGCAATGGTGGAGAGCACAACTACTACTTATTTAGTGATATGGTTAAAAGCAGCACAATTTCTATATTCTTTTTGTTTCCTGACTGCAATGTCTTTGTAGTGCATTACAGTTGGTGTTCAATTTATGTTGAAATGGAATTGCATCAAAAGGAGAACAAAACTCACTGGTTGGGGCATAACGTACAAAAATTGTCAAGTCATGCTGCAGCTGTGTAGAACATTAGTTAGGCCACATTTGGAATATTGTGCACAGTTCTGGTCTCCACACTACCAGAAGGATATGGAGGGTCTGGAGTGGGTACAGAAAAAATCTACCAGGATGTTGATTTGACTTATTTACCGTCATGTGTATCTAAGCACAGTGAAAAGATTTGTTTACGAGCAGTACAGGCAGATCATAGTAAGCAAGGACATACAGATCATAGGGTGGAAAAGAAAACTTTGACAGAGGTGTACAGGTTACGTGGCACAGGGCGTGCGCTGGGCAAGAGCAACACTAGCAAGATCAGCACTAGTGAAGTTAGAGAGTCCATACATCAGGCCAATAACAGCCAGGAAGAAGCTGTTCCTGAACCTGCTGGTGCGTGTGTTCAAGCTTCGTATCTTCTGCCTGACGGAAGAGGCTATAAGAGAGCATTACTGGGTTGCGATGGGTCTTTGATGATGTTGGCAGCCTTTTTGCAGCAGTGAGCGTGTAAATGGAGTCCATGGATGGAAGGTTGGCTTCTCTGATGGTCTGGGCTGTGCACACAACCTTCTGTAGTTTCTTATGGTCCTGGGCAGAGCCTTTATATTTTGTTTCACAAATTAATTATTTTTTTCAAGATCTAAAATGTCAGTAGTCATGAGGTTTAAGTAGGTGTTGGAAAATTAGTGGATAAAATTAATTCCTGACATAACAAATATATGTTTTTAGTTAAAACTGGGGAATTTTACTTTTCTCCTGTCCTATTTTCACTTGCCTTGTTGTCTCCTGAATGTACTAACTCCCATAGACACCAGTTACTACTTGGTGTTTCGTCAAAGTATTTGACTTTTATTGTGAATATTGGCAGGTTACTTAAAATTTGGCGAAAGGTAGGGAATCACAAACCTGTGAGCAATCAGGATTCAAGTAGGTTTTTGTGTATAAATTGGATTTTGAAATATATATTAGTGTGGGTGAATCACTATTCTTCAATATAATAGGGCACACCAATTAACATGTTGATAGTAGAGTTCTCTAAATTTTAGCTTTATTTGAATATTCATTCATAGGACATAGCATTGCTGCCTGAGCCAACAGTCATTGCCCCAGTGGGTAGTTAAGAGTCAACTGCATTACTGTGGATCTACAATCACATATAGGCCAGAATACAGATTCCTTCCCTTAAAGGACATTAATGAACTGGATGAGGTTTTACAAACATCAGTAGTGGTCACCATAAAGCTAGCTTTTTATTCCAGATTTGTATTGGATTCAATTTTTACCATTCATCGTGGTGTGACTTGAATCAATGTCTCCACGTTTTGGGTTTTGAATTACTAGTCCAGTGACATTACCACTATTAATTAGTACACAGTAAAGCATGGGCTAATAAACTAAAGCCACCAGGGAGTTGTTAATGTCAAAGGAAAGATTAAATTATATTTCTCAGGGGTCAGTACCAAGATCACTGCCCTTTTAGATAATTGTTAATGCCTTAGTATACAGATCATAATTTAAAAATTTGTAGATAACATGGAACTTACAAATCCAGTAAATAATAAGGAAACTCAAACAGACAAGAGGATATAGCCAGGCTTGTGAAAAGATTGGGCAAGTGGCTGGTGAAATTTTATGCAGAGAAGTGTGAACTGATTAATTTTGATATCAAAGGAGAAGTAACACAAAGAAAATGATGGAATGCATGTGTGGGGTGGTGGGATTTGGAGGGCAATACAGGAATTGAGATACCTGTACATGCACAAATTTTTGGAAGTGGCAAGACAACTTGAGAAAGATGTTAAAAAAAGTGAATAGCATCCATGGCTTTTAATCAAAACATGGAGTACAAAAAAAATGGGTGTTATGGTAATTTTTAACAACACCATACATTGGGAAGGATATTCATGCCTTATGGTACCAAAGTGAAGAGCTTCACTTGTGTGAAGAAATTGGAGATGTTCTCGTTAGAAGAAAAATGTTGAAGAGATGGTTTGCTAAAGTTGTTCGAGATCATGAACAGCAGAAACTTCATGGAAGGGTTGACAATCAGGGGACCCAGATCTAAGGTGTATGGCAAAGGAAGCTGGGGCAATATTAGGAAACGTTTCTTTATGCAATGAGTAGTTGTGATCGGGAATACACCAGCTGAAGTGGAGATGGAAGAAGATTTAGTGGTGGTTTTTAACGGAACAGGATAAATACTTGAAAGAGAAAATATACGGTTTTGCAGAAAGAACAAGGGAGTGGGGCTAAGTGATTAGCTCTTTGGCACAATGAGCCAAACTATCACTTTGTGTACTATATTAGTCCATAAATCTCTGGCAATAGATCTTTTTGTATATTTTGTGATGCACAGATCAAAAGCAGATTCATTTGCACACAAAGTCTTGTAAATTGCTTTCGTGGAAAAAGGTTTATTACAGGATTCATACATTAATAGTCATCTTGCAAGAGAATGTTCTAAAGACATGCCATAATTCAGGATAAGAATGATTGTTAGATTGCATGTATTTTTGAAGTTGGATATTACCTTTAGAGTAAAGAAAATGTGAAATAAAGAGAAAAGAGCAATGAAATAACATTTGAGGCATTTTAAACCACCACAATAGTTACTCTAACAGAGAAAAAGGAGATACTCCTGCAAAGCTCAAGTCTTAAAACAATATTTAGTTTCTAGTATGTTTTGTGAATGAGACACGTATATCAACATGTATATGTAGATCTATAGGTTTTTTGATCTAATGGAGATGGTAATTAAAAACATTGAACAGAATTGAAAATTCAACATCAGTATGGTCAGGCTGGATGTGTGATTGATCACTGTAGCTTGTTTTACTGCAAAGTTAAATATTCTATTCAATACTGAAATAAAATCTGGCACTATTCTGTGCACATCACGTGTATGATTCAAGTCATGTAACGTGGGACAGCTTAATAAAAGGCACACAAATGCTGTATCTCTGAAACAAATAGACTATACAATTGCTCCATTACTAGTATTCCTTTGCACTACATCCAACTAAGATCATAATAATGTAACGGAAAATAAGAACATGAAAATGCCATCAAAAGTTATCTTTCCACTCTTATTGCATTCAGTTACATTTTCAGCCTCTCATAATGTGGATAATTAATGCTATTGCTTATTCTGAATTTCTTATCACTCTTTTTTGTTTTATATAAGTTTCAAGTTAGATTCATATTGTTTGTTTGATACCCACTGCTTACACACCCCCAGTCTTATCTGAGGTCACTAATGGTAATATTTAAAGCCATGTAATATTTTACATGTATCAGTGATGTTATCTTAATTGGCTAGTCTATATTGTATAAAACAATTTTTCCAATACTCTTATTGATTATCCCTGTTCACACTTGCAATTGGACTTGTTGCTCTTTTCTAAGCATGATATAGCATTTGGTCATTTATAGCTGACACTTAGAAAGGAATAAAAATCAAGCAGCTGTTCTTCATTTAACAGGAATTTACAGCTGGAAGAATTTCATTGCAAATGGATAGTATGATGAAATTAAAAAGATTTTGGATTTTACACGCCGTTTCCCTAAGAGAATATTCCGTACTTACTTAAAAGGGGTTGACCATTCTAGAAACAAAACTGTGTGCAAGATTATAATTCATCATGGTAATTGGAAAGGATTTTTTGGAGTCTCTCGGAGCTGGACTGTCTCCCATAGGATGAGTGTATCCGGAATGTTGTACAAATTGATTATCGATAGCAAATTTTAATTCTACCAAGCTTATGGCAATGATCATGAATGCTTGCTAGTGTTAAACATAAGCAAGATGTTGAAACAGAAGATAGGAAAGTGTGTATCTATTCTTGACTAACAACTAGTTCATTTGAATTTCAGTTTACCATTGTATAATCCTCCATTTTTCAGTCTCATAAACTAGGAGATAGCGTCTTGTGAAAATTATTAACATATTGTAGATAAACATATCATAATGGATATATTGTTCATACTGGTCATAACTTAAGAGAAAGTACTTATACTTCAACCGTCTGTTCCTTTTATAAATATATTCAAATTTAATTTAATTACGGTAACTTTAAGCATGAGTTTTAAAAGTTTCAATCCTACATAAGGCTTATTTTTGATATGAATGCAATCATGTTTAAAGCAAATCTAGAAATAGTCTGTTGTTAAATTACACCAAAGGTGAAAGCAGAGAAAAAAAACATTTCATCCATATGGCCCTCCTTCATTGGTCTGCCTTTGATAAAAAAGCCTCAGAATGCTTAAACAATTTTCAGAGCAAAGCAGTTCTATCAGTTCACAAAGGAAGTTAGTAACAACGCAGTGGATCTACTTTTATCAGTGGGCATATAGTTTGAAAAAAAAAACTATAATTAAAGTCATTTGTACATTCTGTTGCATTCAGTATAAAAATCTATTTATGAATCTGAGAATTTCGTCCCAGCAAATTCTGCTCCATTCAGATGATACCAGACAGATAAACAAGTGAATAAACTTGTTACATTCTACAAAAGAAAATGCAGTTATATTTGTCTTTTCTCAAATTATGTTGGATTAATCTTACTCTATTTTCTTAACATATAATTACGATACAAGTAATCATTCTTCTATCACTGTTATAAAGCAAAGTGCTACATCATTTTAATCAAATGAAAAGAGGAAATAGTTCAAAAAGCTACTTACCAACAAAAAGAATGTATTTAAAATGTGTTTTACACCAGCATGGCAGCAGCTGACTGTTGCTCAAACCGAGTCCATGAAGTTTATTTCTAAAAGTGCAGAGAGTACACAATAGAATGAGGCAGAAAAAGGGCAGGAACAGGCATGTACTTTAAAGAGTTTCACAATTCCATCGGCACACTTCACACTGCAATGCTCACAGGAGCAGCAAAATTGGACTTTGAAACCAGTTCAACTGCACAACTTCTCAAGTTTAAACCCACTCAAGGCAAAGCCAAATTTCTGCCCCCCTTGTATTCTCTGTTTGCTGCTCTATGTACTCACCTACAGTTAAAGTTAAAATATTCAGCAGAAAATTGGTATTTTTTCCCCTTTTCACTCTCTCTCTCTCTCACTCTGTGGTAATCCCTGCCTATAATGTACACTGCTACATTTTCCTGAATGTACAGGAAGCTGCTTCGCTGCTTATCAGCAGAGAGTTACTTCTCACTGCTGCTTCCTCCCACACCACCTACACACGGGCCTACGCACTTTTATCATTCTACTTCATTTGCAAGCTGAAAAGGTGAAACAAAGGGTCACATTAAATGTTCAAAGCAAAAGAAAGGTGAAATATTGGTGGAAAAGCCTAATACATCTATTTTAGGATGTTGCAACATTTTGAATGCCCATGTGAATCAGTTGCCAAGTGTGTTAGCTTTACACATTTATTGATGTATTTAAAAAAAAAACACAAACACCAAACCACCAGTTTATGACTCAGAAACATTTAGTTTAAGATATAAGTTTCCTCTTTTAAATTAAGAAACCAACATAACTTACATATAGAAATATGGCGCTTAACTGCAACGCTTAAGAATATTTCTCATACTGGAAACATGTTTTTATACTAACCATGTGCAACATATAGTTAACCCATAATGTTTCTTGATTTTGAAGGAAAATATATGAAGCTCAGCATTTGGAGTTGAAGGTGCACCTCAGTTGAAATATTTACATTGCAAATCTTTCTTAATATATAACTCAATTTGTAAAATCAGCATGTACTTTGTGTGACTGGGAATAAGGAAATGTGTTCTAGTTTTATTTGAGAAAGAAATGAATTTCTTTCAGATCTTCCATTTGGATTTCTTCCAATTATCTGAAAATGGATAAAATCACCTTTGCATCTTGCTGTCAGCTCAAGCTCTGGTTGAGAGTGGGTCTATGTCCGAAACCTCAGCCTTCCTGCTCCTTTGATGCTGCTTGGCCTGCTGTGTTCATCCAGCTCTACACATTGTTATCTCAGATTCTCCAGCATCTGCAGTTCCTACTATCCCTAATTTCTTTCTTCCATTTTGTTAACAAAACAAAAACACATAGTCACATAATCACAGAGTGATTCAGCATAAGCCTTACTAAGTTTTATTATTGTTATGGGAAGGACATTGTTAAACTGGAGAGAGTTCAGAAAATAATTACCAGCATGTTGTCAGGAATGGAGGGTTTGAGTTATAAAAATACACTGGAGAGGCTGGGGCTTTTTTCTTTAGAGCGTAGGAGATTGAGTGGTGACCTTATTGATGTTTATAAAATCATAAGGGGCATAAATAAGATGAATGACAAGGGTCTTTTCCCTAGGGTGGAGGAGTTCAAAACTAGGAGGCATATTGTTAGGGGGAGAAAAATGAACAAAAAAAGACATGAAAGGCAACTTTTTTTACACAGAGAGTGTTTCATGTGTGGAATGAACTGCCAGAGAAAGTGGTGGTTGCAGGTACAGTTACAATGTTTAAAAGACATTTGGATAAGTTCATAAATAGAGCAGTTTGGAGGGATATGGGCTAAGTTCAAATAGGTGGGACTAGTTTAGTTTGGGAACATGGTCGACATGGATTGCTTAGGCTGATGAGTCTGTTTCTATGCCGTATGACGTTATGACTCTATGACTATACTCAGTAAACATGTTTGATTGCAAAATTGGAACAAAGGTCCAGACATTTAACAACATTAAAACACATCAGAATGCAATTGCTATCACTTAACCTGATACGGTCATGACTGCCATACATTATATTGGTTTGGAATTTGTCTGAGATATGTTCAGTAAATTTTGTTTCATGCAGAACTGGTTGAATTGGCACTCTGTCAAGATAGGGCATTTCTTACTTTTTCACTTTGTAGTTAGTGGCTGAACTGCATTACTGCATCTAATTGTGTAGACATCACTGATTGGCTCCTCTGATTCACATATCAGAGATCAGCTTTTTCAGTTTTTGACTCAACTCCTGGGTGCAGTTTCTTGTGAAAGCGAAAGAAGTCTCCAAAGTACAAGGAGCAAAGGGAAGGAGAGAGTTCAGATGAGAAAGCAAGGGAAGAAAGACACCAATCAATTTGTTCCAACTCAGCACGGTCAATCATGAAGCGATTAACAACTGAGTCATGAAAACGGTTATCTTCTGGACCAATCCTTTGGAGGAAAAATAAGCATGGTAGTATTTAATGAGATAAAACATAAATCAACTTCACTGCATTCCGATATTATCTTGGAGCACAGAGTAATTTCTTGGGAATGCAGGACCTAGGGAGAATCATACTGGTGCTTAATCCTCCCTTTGACCAGTTCTGGCCCCTTGCACCACCCCCAATATTTTTCTTCTGTTATGTGAACAAATTATTCCGAGTATGCGGATTGCTGTGATTATCATTAACCAGTGTCTCCAATCTATTCCCCATTTTTGCAATAATTGCAATCAAGTTCAACGTAATTGAAACAAAAACTGGCTTCCATTTTTTCCCAGGTGCATATGGACCCAGCATGGGGCCCCCAAAGGTGCACGGTGCAAGGCAAAAACTGATTTGAGATAGCAAGAACTGCAGATGCTGGAGTCAGTGATAACAAAGTGTGAAGCTGGAGGAACACAGCAGACCAGGTGGCATCAGAGGAGCAGGAATATTGCCGTTTTGGGTTGGGAACATTCTTCAGATTTGATCTTGTCTGGGATGATAAGGAGAAGTGATGGCCTTGTGGTATTATCACTGGACTGTTAACCCAGAGACCCAGGAAACATCCTGGGACCCAGGTTCAAATCCCGCCATAGCAGATGGTGAAATTTGAATTCAATAAATATCTAGAATTAAGAATCTAATGATGACCATGAATCCATTGTTGATTGTGGGAAAAAACCCATCTGGTTCACTAATAATCCTCAGGGAAGGAAACTGCCATCCTTACCTGGTCTGACCTACATGTGACTCCAGACCCTCAGCAATGTGGTTGACTCTTAACTGCCCTCTGGGTGATTAGGGATGGGTAACAAATGCTGTCTAGCCAGCAATACCCTCATCCTGTGAATGAATAAAGGAAAAAAGAATTGGCTGGGTTATCATTTCAGCTGAAATTGCCCAACACTCAAAAATATCTTCCAGATGCAGTTCTGAACATTTATAACAAATGATTGATTCTATGTTAGTGCTGAATATTGCATTTTGTTCAACAAAACCATTTCACCGGCCAAATCTACTGCCTTTTGAGGCTATAAGAAGTGCTTCTGCATTTCTTGCTGCTTCTCAGTTTAAAGCCAGGTCAAATAAATCACCTGGAGATATAGGGCACTTTTTTTTTAAACTGAAGCAGAAAAATTGTTTAACTCTTACATGCTTGATTGCTAGACAAATCCAAACCGGCCAATTGCTGTTCTACTGCTAGTTATTATCTAAGTGGTGGAAGATGCTATCTAGTGACACAATCAGGAAGATAGTTATGGTTTCAGAGATAGTAGGAACTGCAGATGCTGGAGAATCTGAGATAACAAGATGTAGAGCTGGATGAACACAGCAGGCCAAGCAGCATCAGAGGAGCAGGAAGGCTGAGGTTTCGGGCCTAGACCTTTCTTCAGAAATGGGGGAGGGGAAGGGGGTTCTGAAATAAATAGAGAGAGAGGGGGAGGCGGATAGAAGATGGATAATGGGGAAGATAGGTGGAGAGGACACAGACAGGTCAAAGAGGTGGGGGTGGAGCCAGTAAAGGTGAGTGTAGGTGGGGAGTTAGGGAGGGGATAGGTCAGTCCAGGGAGGACGGACAGGTCAAGAGGGCGGGATGAGGCTAGTAGGTAGGAGATGGGGGTAGGGCTTGAGGTGGGAGGAGGGGATAGGTGGGAGGAAGAACAGGTTAGGGAGGTGGGGACAAGCTGGGCTGGTTTTGGGATGCGGTAGGGGGAGGGGAGATTTTGAAACTTGTGAAGTCCACATTGATACCATTGGGCTACAGGGTTCTCAAGTGAAATATGAGGTGCTGTTCCTGCAACCTTCAGGTGACATCGTTGTCGCACTGCAGGAGGCCCAGGATGGACATGTCATCTAAGGAATGGGAGGTGGAGTTGAAATGGTTCGCGACTGGGAGGTGCAGTTGTTTAGTGCGAACCGAGCGTAGGTGTTCCGCAAAGCAGTCCCCAAGCCTCCGCTTGGTTTCCCCGATGTAGAGGAGGCCACATCTGGACCTGGTGTGGCATAATGGGTCAGTGGTTAGCACTGTTGCCTCACGGCGCCAGGGACACAGGTTCAATTCCACCCTCGGGTGATTGTCTGTGTGGAGTTTCCCCATTCTCCCTATGTCTGCATAGGTTTCCTCTGGCTACTCTGTTCCCTCCTACAGTTCAAAGAAGGTTAGGTGGATTGGCCATGGGATATGTACGGTTACAGGAATAGGGTAGGGGGGTGTGTTTGTGTGGGATGCCCTTTGCAGGATCAGTGTGGACTCAATAGGCTGAATGGCCTGCTTCCACATCGTAGGGATGCTATGCAATCTGTGGCCTCTCCTATGTCAAAGGACAAGGGAGGTAGACACTTTGAAGTACAAGCACGTGGGTGTCCCCTCCAAGTGATACATCATCCTGATTTTGAACCATATCACTGTTGCTTCAATGTCAGTGGACCCAAATTCTGGAACTCCATTTCCAACACCACTGTGTATATGCCCACACCAGCTAAATGGCAATGGTTGAAGGAGGCAGCTCATCACCACCTTCCAAAGGCAACTAAGGACAAAAAGGCTGTAGTTGCAGGCGATACTCATATCTTATGACCTTTTTTTTAAATGTAAGAAAAAGACCATAAGGCAATATTTGATAAACACTTCCAACTTGTAGAATCATATTTGTAGGTTGTGGCATCTTAGTAATACTTATTCTTTTTTTTTAAGATAAGCTAGTGGCGGGGAAAGCACTTGAATTTTGCCACATGGTGAAAGGAGAAATCAGAGGATCAGAACAGACAAACAGAGAAACAATGCCATGGATGAGTTGGACCAAAGGGTCTGTTTCTCTGCAGTACATCTCTAAGAGATTTTTTGGTCCAATGGCAGTTATAGTGAATCATTTGGTACATTATTCAACAGATTCCCATGACCTCAGTGGTTAAACAAGTAATATGTGGCGTGGGGTGCCAAATCATTAACATTCCACC